AAGCAAAATGCCAGTGAATGCGATTAGGCCACAGCTAATCTTTTTTAGAATTGGGTTAAAGTTTCTAACATCAGCTTGATGACGGCACTCACGCAGACTGTTGTTGTGTAATCCTCCATCTTCTTTCTCCCAGGCTGTGTGGGTTATCCTCCTTTCTACGACGAGAACGATTCGAAGCTCTTTGAGCAGATTCTCAAAGCAGACTACGAGTTTGACGCTCCGTACTGGGATGACATATCAGACTCTGGTGAGATGCCAAGTCTCTCTCTCTCTCTCTCTCTCTCTCTCTCTCTCTCTCTCTCTCTCTCTAGTCTCTCGTCGGCTCTCTCTCATCTCTATCTCTCTCTCTACCTCTCTCTCTCTCGTCTCTCTCTTTCTCTCTCTCTCGCTCTCTCTCTCGCTCTCTCTCTCTCTCTCTCTCTCTCTCTCTCTCTCTGTGTGTGCATACACTGTGTTTTTACATTTTTAGAAGTAACATTTTATTTGTCAGGTCCCATCCTTTTTATCTATCATATCAATATTTTGTAACATAGTGTGTGTGTTTAATAAGATTTAATTATTTATATTTCTTTTAAAAGTTTAAATAGGTATGTATTCAGCTTCAAGAAATATAGGGAGTATTGTTTACAAAAGTTAATTAATAATTTCTTAAGTTGAATAACAGTTGTCTTTAAGGGACATTTTAAGGAAACTCAGCATAATGTCTGTAACATGTGCTGGTTCCTATTTCAAATCTTAAGTAAACAAACTGATATTAAGTATGTGTTTTATCCTAAAATCACTACTAAAATGCATTGTTATGTTCAGAAGTTGGAAAAAACGTCCCTATGTTTTCAGCTCTACATGTTTTTGACCCTGTCATGTCGCTCCTCAGCCAAAGACTTCATCAGCTCCCTGATGGAGAAGGACCCGGAGAAGAGGTTCGTCTGTGACCAGGCTCTGGAGCATCCATGGTGAGAGACAAACCCCCGGCACCCTGCTCCCCAAAACCAGACAATCACTGGGAGCCACATGCACATTTTGGTGCGATCATACAGCAGTATGACGCAGATTGCCAGGCTTACACATTTGTCATGGAAAGCATGTCCTCCCTCTGTCATCTGTCGCCATGGCTGCGAGCCGGGAACCCACCTCTGCTCGGCACCGCCAGCCGTCGGAGAGAGAATCTGCTGAATAAATGGCCGCCAATTAGTAGCTGGCGTCCTGAAGGATCCTTGAAGAATGTGGACGCTTTAATGAACAATTAGGATGTCTTCCCAGGCCTGAGCTGCAGCTAACGAGAGCGAGCGAGCGTGGGCTGCTGTCTCCGGCTGAGCGGCTCATACGGAAAGTTCTGTTAGCCGTTAATGGAGCTGGGCAGGTGGCCTCTCTGGAAAATATGAGGTTTGTGACACCGGTAACAGGTGTCATAACTGAGAGAAATAGCTTTCATTGACAAGGTCTCATGCAGAGATATTATGATGAATGTGACAAAGTGATGCAAATATCGCCCCCATCAATCACAGATGTTTTAGCAGAATGAAAATAAATTATCCGAGCAGATAGGAAAACAACATTAGGATGAATCCCAGAGGCATTACTGATACAAAAATAATCTATTTAGGTAATGCTGTGTTTGTGTGTGTGGACTGTCAGCTACTTATCTTCTCTTTTTAAGATTGGAATTATGGAAGATACAATTTCATTTTGCAGGACTTTTTGTATTTCATTATTCCCAAAGTCAGAATCCCAAAGTTTTCCTCGAGAGTGATCTTAAGCTTCAAATCTGATAACACTGAATGGTTTTAGGTTATGATCAAATGTATTGGGTCCAGGCTGTCGATGTGAAAATGTTTAATCGGATCATTTGTTATGCTATTCATATCTATTGGCTTTAATGTTATTGGTTTGACGTAAAAGGTTGGTGATTTAGGCTAATTAAAACGAAACATGTACATGATATTAAAGGACTTGACTTATATTTCCAGGATTGCTGGAGACACTGCTCTCTGCAAGAACATACACGAGTCAGTCAGTCGACAGATGCGGAAAAACTTTGCCAAAAGCAAATGGAGGGTGAGCACTCAAGACTTATCAGGTGTTACTAAAAACAGAATATGTTCTATCTTTGTGAATAGCCAATGATTTGTCTGTACTTGGTTTACATATGTCTGTTTACATCCTCTCTTCACAGCAAGCCTTTAATGCGACGGCTGTGATCCGCCACATGCGGCGCCTGCAGCTGGGCACCAGCTTCGGCGGCAGCAGCATCCACAACGCCAACTCCAACCCGCAGAGCCGCGCTCCAGCCAAGAGCCAGTCTGTGGATTGCGACCCGCCGTCCCTGAAGGACTGTGAGTGACACTTCAGCTTCTCCGTAGACTCAAACGTGTCCAAGTTTAGAGCCGCTGGCCTCTGTTCACTCTGCTAACCTCAACACTGGGAGATTGGATGCTGTTTATGAGTTTTTAATTAAACAGACTAAACGTATTTGACATGAGACATTTGATTTAACGTAAGATTTATTTATAAGAAGAATACATTTCTGTTTATTGCTCACGATAAATGGATAGATAGATGGATGGATGGATAGATAGATAGATATATAGATGGATAGATAGATAGATAGATAGATAGATAGATACTTACTTTAGGGATTCCAGGGTATTTTAGACTCTTCTACAGAGGAATGTTTTCAAGATCAATAACTGAAATATTCCTGATTAAACTTATTTTTTCTCTGTCAAAGAGTTTTAATAAGTAGCTAATTGACTAAGGCCGAGTTACACTTCATTAGAACTAGTTCAAACGATAAATCAAAAGTGTTTATGTTTTTTTAACTCATAGGCCTGCTGCCAGAAAGAAGAGAAGACACTTCACCATTTAAATATGGGGATAGCAGCACAGACTGAGACTGTCTCTCCACGAAGACTTTTAAAAAGCTACACAAATAGCTTGTTTTAACTCCATACAGCTGCCCAATGACTGTAAATGTAATCCAGCATCAGAAATGTGTGGTGTGAGGGTGTTTCCGAAGTTATTGGTCCATGACAAGCAGCATACTGACATGTAATAATCAAATCATAGAAAATGTCCAGACCTATCCTTTAACCTTTATTTTCCCTGCCTGTCTGTCAAACAAAACTTAGTTAATGACTTGCAACACTTTACTGAAACTATATTTTCTCCCACAGGTCCTCCGATAGCACCTCTGCCCTCCACAGTTAAAGTGTACAATCAGGACTCTGAAGCCCCCACCCCTATCCGAGAGGAGCCCTCCACGGTGGCCGAAGCCTCTCGACCCCGACCCTCCACCGTCACGGTCATCCACACTGGGACTAAATGACGCCAGGTGCCGCGGGAGGTGAGCTGGGAGACCACAGAGCTTTGAGACGGGAAACGACCATCCCAGGCCTCAATGTCCTCGCCCAGTTTGCTCATCCCGCAACCTCCCATCTGATTCTGCCAACCAGGGGGGAATTTGAGGAGCGTTGGCTCCATTTACCACGGCTCAGCACGACACCGCTGCTGCTCCCCTTCCCTCTGTCATACAGACCTGGAGGTACAGAGGGGAAGATGCTCACCAGAAGTTGTTTTTGAGGAAGCTGCGTTCAGGATCACGGTTGTCTGGCAGGTGAAAAAGCAGCTGGGGAAGTGCCACACTAAAGGGAACTCTTTATTGAAGCTGCTATCAGTTTTGACTGCGAGCGTCTTGAGAGAAGGACGCTCCTCTGTATGCCTTGTGTAAATATCCTGCGTGGAAATGTTGAGTGGAGTCATGTTATGCAAGTGAAATATAACTGTGGTAAATAATCGTGACATCATCTGCACTCTGAACTTTTTTCTTGTGGTTTTGACAGCTTTGGTTAATGTGTGGTGGTATTTGCTACAATGGCTCCAAACAGTGTGTGTGTGTTTATATCTTTGCTTTAAAGTGTTGTGATCGCTGAGAGGGCCGGTGCATTGCACTAATGTATTGGATTATTTATTTTCTTACAACATATTCTGACTTTTTTGTAAGTACCGTGGTATTAGACTGGACTGAAAAGCTATTGAATTGAATGATAAAAAACAGTATCTAATATAGTTTATAGTTTCTGTAACTCGTGTTTTGACTGCAAAGTCCTCCTCGACCACAGGAGGGCGACCTCGTGTTGTTTCTGTGTGACCAGCTCTCAGGGATGTGCTCGACATTAAGCCAACCAAACCCTCTCACTGCAGATGAGGACGTTGAAAAGTAAAAACCTCCTCATACTGCATATTATTCTAATGTGCCATTGGGAGAGTATGACAGATGTTTTATATTTCTTTAAATCCATAATTATTGACAGTATAATGTAACTGAATGGATTGTTTTCCCCTTTAAGAAAGTATATTTGGATTTAAAGAAAGTGTTTATCAGTGCAAAAATGACAAATGAATGCAAACGTAACTCATCGCAGAACCGTCTAATCGTCTAGTAGTGTACAGATCAGTAGGCGTAATATATTGCTACCTGCTTGCGCTCAAGAGGAGGCTGGTCTGAGAACATCTCCTTCTCTCTGTGTTTAATCACTGTGCTTTCATACCAGCCTGTTGAATTTAGCAGAAACACTCTCTTTCTCCCTCCTTCTTTCTCCCGTCGCTCTCTGGAGACTTTCACACGGAGAGGAGACGGGATCTGTCTTTGTATTTTCTCTGTGCCACATCTATTTAATTTTTAAATTATTCAACATGAACGATGTAAAACAACACTCCACCAGAATATGCCCAATATCCAGGGCTTTGCCATATTAAATTATCTCAAAATGTTGTGGTGAATATTGACTTCTACTTACTGTAAATACAAAATCTCAACAACAGTTAGCTTTGGTCTGGAGTGTTTTATTTTTGTCTTCCCTATATATTTGTTCTCCAAAAAGAAACATCAACAGAAAGCAAAAGTTATGAAGCATTGAGAGCCCCTCGGTTTGCATGTATTACGTATTGTTGCAGAAATGTGTTTTAGAGTTGTAGATTCATGTATTAAAAAAAGACTGTTCTGCATGGGTTGTTGATTCTTTGAGTAAATATCAGGTTAGTGAGTTAGTTAGAGTTTGTACATATTTCTTTCAATAAGATTATAGATCAATACATCAAAACTACTACGTTAAAAGATTGAACTGTCAGCACAATGGATTATATATAATTACAGTATGGTTAGTACATATATACGAGTAAATACAGTTTATTCACACGCATTAATCTTCTGGTAATGTAGCATGAAATCATTGCACATCGATTAACCCAGGCCCTCCATTATTTAAACATACTTAACATTTTATCAGTTCAACACTTTGTGACTTTTCTTTGAAAATTAAAATAATCTTTAGTTCATCCACAGCCCATTCAATATAAAACATATATTCTCTCTATGCATTAACTCAGTTTAATGGTTATTTCTGTACCGTGTCTCCTTCGTTAAATGTGTAAGGCCAGTTTGTGGAAATGAGAAAGGTACTTCAATACCTACATATTTGCTTTTTAATTAAAAAGTTGAAAAGACAAAACAATGCAATAATTATTCGCGTTATTACTTTTACACATACCTTATGAGAGTCTGTGGGAATACTAAACAATGAGGATGTAAAGCTAGCATCAACAACAACATCCTGACTAAAACCAACAGTTTCATCCCACAGGCGATAAGACTGTTAAACACCTGAACTGCTGAAACAACATGCATAACATTCTGCTACTTAGTAATCATTTATCTATTTACCTAATATATCATTCAAATAGCTTTTTAAACTATTCCTTTCTTTTTGCAGTTACTTTTAATATTTAATATTTACTTGCACTATATTTGTCTGTTTTTCTGTTTTATTGTGTTGCACTGTTGGAGAAGCCTGACTGAAGAACTTCATCGACATAACTACTCTGTAGCTATGTTCATATGACAAATAAAGAACCTTGAACCTTGAAAAGGGTGAAAACAACGAGCTGTTATCTCAACCGTCAGTGTCAGATGAGAAAAGTCTCATTGTGTTTTTAAAGTTGTTTCTCTAAAAGCTCACATCTCTCCTCTCTTCAGCCCTGGGCCTCAGATGGACTGGCGGTTGTACTCCTGAGGAGGATGCATCCCGTCGTAGTGAAACTCCCTCCACTGCTCCGTGCTCTCTCGGCTCTTCTCATTTTGTTCTGGGAAGATATGGAGGATGTTAGTGGATGAATGAGCTGCTGGAGTGAAATAACTCACGCTTCTCAGCCTCTTCAGACATACCATCATCCTCCTCTTCAGCAAAGTTCTCGTGCCGGGTCCTCTTCTCCTCGTTAAACTCTCTCATTCGTTCATCTGCAGCTAGAATCTGCCTCTGCTCAGCTGGAGCACAGAGGAGGAGGAATTAAATAGTGTAAAAATAAACATATCATAAACATCTGTGATACAGTAGTGTATTGTCATAACAACTAACAAAGAAGGAGGATTAGTTTATTTCCTAATTATTTTAATTCTTCACATTTTCTTTTGAATAACAAAGGATTTTTTCAATTTTTTATTTATTTTGCATTTTCTTTGAGTTGCAAAGAACAATAGTTGTTGCACGCACGCACACACACACACACACAATTTTGTACAGTACAATCACAATGACATATGTTTTAGGTAAATGTAGTGATGGGGGAAATTACTCTCGATCAGTTTTTCTTGTTCAGTTTAATTGACAGGGAGTGGACATGTGAATGACAGCCTGGATGTTTTTATGGCAGCCAGCAGCTGTTAACTTCTCTGCTGGAGTCTGCAGCAGGAGCCACAGGGCAGCATGGAGCTCTAACACACACACACACACACACACACACACACACACACACACACACACACACACACACACACACACACACACACACACACACACACACACACACACACACACACACACACACACACACACACACACACACACACACACACACACACACACACAATGACTGACTGTTGAACATCACACACACACACATTCACACAATGACTGTTGAACATCACAAAACTACACTTTCAAATAAGGAAGACCATGGAGGTGATTCATCAAGTCTGAACAAAAGCTGCTTTTTGTGAACTTCTTAAAGCTGGTATTTGCTGTGATTCACAGAAAGCTGCGTGTTGCCAAGGCCGACGCTGAAAAACAAACAACCCTAACCCCCTGGTGACGGAAGAAAATAATGAGTAATGTCTCACCCGTAGATCTACAAATACATGTGTGGGGAAAGCAGTGGTGGAATATTACTTGGTACATTTTCTCAAGTACTTAAGTTAAATATTGGCTAGTTTATACCTTTACTCCTCTACATCTCAGAGATAAATAAGGTGCTTTTTTTTATTAAGTGTATTTTGTAAGACAAGATAACAATGTAAACTTAGTAAAGAAGAAACCAAGATGTTGAGTATCAGAAATGTGTCCTCTGCTCAGAGATTTTATTTTTAGTCTGATTACGTCTTTTTTTAATGTTTTTTTTAAAATCCCTGCCGAGTCGACGCACAACTGTTGATTGGTGTCAGTGCCAGAAACACTTTTTAGGAGCAATGCGCTCATGGTATAGATGTGGCGCAAACATCTTAGTTCCTACTCTTTTCCCTCAACCTATCCTAAGGGAGTCCATGTACGTAGACACGTTAGTTTTGCTGCTATAGGCTTAGACTGTCGGGGGACACCTTCCTTCTTCCTTCTCTCTGTCTGTACCTGTGTACTCTCATGTTCCGAATAACCCAGCTTCCCCCAAATTTCTTTTTGGTATCTATCTACGCCGGGATCCTGAGTCATGGTCCTGTTGCTGTGGTCCTGTGTCCTGGATCCTGAGTCATGTGTCCTGGATCCTGCATCCTGAGTCCTGGATCCTTTATCCTGAGTTCTGGATTTGAGTCCTGGACTTCGAGTCGTGGCTGAACCCGTTACTGTGGTCCTGCCTGACTCTCATCATACTACTTCCCTGATGGCTCCCACAGGATTGTTGACATCCTCGTGGATTCATCTTCTTATTACAGACACATGCATTTCCTAACATTCGGTCTATATGCTGTAAAATGTATTATCTCTTCGATTTACACACGGCATCTATTGCACGTCTGTCCGTCCTGGGAGAGGGATCCCTCCTCTGTTGCTCTCCCTGAGGTGTCTCCCATTTTTCCCTTTAAACTGTGGGTTTTCTCTGGAAGTTTTTCCTTGTACGATGTGAGGGTCTAAGGACAGAGGGTGTCGTTTTTCTCATACTGATATTCTGTACAAACTGTGAAATCCACTGAGACAAATGTAACATGTGTGATATTGGGCTATATAAATAAACATTGATTGATTGATGATTGATTAATGTAACTGTAAGGGAATACAGTTACCTTTTTTGGTATCCTGATTATGTAATCCCGTCACATGTAATCCATTACTCCCCAAGCCTGTTTACAAGCATATACAATATGTCGGCCTACATTGAAGTCGGTGGTTCAGCAGAAGCTATAAAAAGATTTTAGCAGTCTGAGTTTGTCACAACATTACAGTCTCTTTAGTAGGGATGGTTTCCATTTTGGATCCGGTTGCAGAGTTGTTACTAATATGGATGCAGAGAGGCGACCTGCATGTGACCTCTGAGAACATTAAAGTCCTCGTCTGTCATTTCAGTTTCAGTGAAGTTCGCACACTGACAGCAGTGACATTAGAGAGAGCCGTTAGCTGAGATAAGAGAGGGCTGGAATAGTCGTGCTGACCTTTCAAAAATCAGGTCACAACCTTTGACCTTTTAACAAGATTCCCAGCACGAGCCTGTGCATCCAGTGAGAGCAGAAAGCACGGGTGGAATGTAGGGAAGTACATTTACTAAGTATTGTACTCAAGTACAATTCTCAGGTACTTGTACTTTACCTGAGTATTTTAGTTACGTCATACTACTACTCCATTACATTCTATAAACCAATATTGTACTTTTTACTGCGCTACATGTACTGTTTATGCGGTTGTATTGTTTTTATTTAAGTTTTTTGTTAAAGGCTTATTAAACACTTGGTGTTGCCTTTTGTGTATCAAAAGTGCTATATGAATAAAGACGATTTATGTCGAGCTTTAGTTACTTTACAAATTTAGATTACTAATTTATGCAAAATATAAATCAACAAATAAATATTTATATATAATCTTGGGGTCAAAACATCCATTAGCAGTATACAAAGCAGTTTTATTAGCTCCACTTTTACCAGCTGTGATTAATGCATCGATAATCTTAATCCAGTAATTTCATAAAAGTGATTTTAAAATTGGCCATTACGCCCAAGGAACATTCTCACTTTTTGCAAAACCCCAGAAAGAATAACAGGGCCCCTTTAAGTATTGCTACTTTCACTAAGGTATCACATATGGGTACTTCCTCCACTACTGACTGGAACTAATGCTGGGAAGTGAAGTTACTTAGTTATATATTACAGAGTTTAATGTTTTAACAAATTAAGTGCATATTATTAAAGATTTGAAGATGAAAAGATTTGATGGCAACTACAGTACCTGCTATTATTGATCTGTTTTTCTCTTTCAGACATTGCAGAGCAGACCTGCTTCTTCTGACTCACCTACTCCCACAAATGTCAAACCGCAGCATTCGTTGAGAGTCTGATGTCTCTGTTTTGATGTTTCCACTTTGCTTAAAACCTACTTTATCCACCATCTGCAACACGTAAAACATTCATCAAATATCTTTATTAGAGCATTTATCTGACTGCAAGCAAGAAGATGTGCTTTTATGCCATAGTGCAGCAGGAGAGGCTATTCAAAGTGAGCGCAATTAGTTTGTGTTACTTTTGAACCTGTGTTTTTTCTCTGAAGCCTTTCTGCACATTCCTCATTCAACTCACAGCCGCTCACCCACTCACTCCATCTCAGTCTCCTCGGCGTGTTTACTGCTTTGTGTTCACTTTATCCCTGCTTTTAACGGCACAAAGTGTCTTTTTGTTGCTGGTACACACACAGACCCACAGCATGTTACACAACTTCACATTGAAAGCAGCAGCGTCAGTGTGTGCTCTCACCTTCCTGTTGGCAGAACGGTACATAACAGCGGCCTTAAATCACTCGAGGATGTCAAACATGGTACAGTATGTGAATTTTCACAACACTTGTAAGGAGAATATTGACTGATTTACGCTTGAGGTGAGGGTGAGGGTGTGTGTGTGTGTGTGTGTGTGTGTTAGAGCTCCATGCTGCCCTGTGGCTCCTGCTGCAGACTCCAGCAGAGAAGTTAACAGCTGCTGGCTGCCATAAAAACATCCAGGCTGTCATTAACATGTCCACTCCCTGTCAATTAAACTGAACAAGAAAAACTGATCGAGAGTAATTTCCCCCATCACTACATTTACCTAAAACAAGAGGACATATGTCATTGTGATTGTACTGTACAAAATGTATTGGATTATTACAATACAGTGCCTGTTTATGGTCAGGATGGGGATAAAAAGAGACATTATCGCTTTATTTTACAAATTATTTAGAGCTTGGACTTTTTTACGTCGTTAATATGATCAATGCTTTGTTTGGTCGTTGTCGAGCATATTATTATTTTATTTTTTTACTAGTTATGTGCTTTATGGTTTGTGATGTTGATGAGGTCTATGCTTTTTCAAGGCACTTTTGTGCAAGATGATTTCTTTTACTGGCAAAAATATTTAATTCACATCAATTCACTTAGATTCAATTAACTTAACAAAAAAACATTGAACACTGAAAATGTTCAGAAATAACTTATAGACACATGTTTGTAATCTTATCACCAATTTGGATTCAACTATATGACTTCCATTGTGGCATAACAGTAAGGAATTGAGTGTAAGTAAACCTCTGCTGCAAGAAGTTCTTGTATAAGGAGTCACGGATGCCATCAATTACCACAAACACACAACAACAAACACACACCTGGTCGGCTGACCAGACCTCTGTCCACAAACTGTGAACTCACCATTAATCTCATCCTGAGACTTTGAGGCTCGTCTGCTGCGTTTTCTGAAGAAGGTTGCTGCATCTGCCTCCTTCATGAAGATCTTCTTCATTGAACCTGCGGTGGGGAGCAGGAGGGGGTTCAGCTCACAACACAAAGAGATAAAGAGAGGGGATGAAGAAGAGGTGCAGCGCCTCACCTTGAGGCTCTTTAACGCTGCCTTTGCTGCTGGAAACAGCTGCAGAGTCGGCCTCTGGAGACACTGGGGAAACACATAAAGGGTTACAATGATTAAAACACAGAGAATCTAGACTCACATTCTTACCCCTGCATGAAAAATACAAACAGATTTCATCACATTGATTCTCCTGCATCAGACTCACAGGAAAGTGCCACAAGCACAGCGACGAGGGCCAGCAGGGTTGCATACGTCCAGGACATCTTCAGCTTTGTGTCTGAACTTGTGGAGAGAAATGAGTAATGTGGCAAACCACGATGAGAGGTGGGTTTTTTGAGAAGTGGGGAGGGAGCCTGGAGGAATATTGACTGCTGGACAGAGGAGAGGGAGGGAGAGACCTGAGCATCTGATAAAGCTGAATTCAAGAAACAGCAGACAGAAAGGGGCTGAAGGTTCATTAAAAGTTGGTGTGTGTAAAGTACAAGTGGCCTGTGAGGGTCTATTTCTTAAGTCATAGAAGAGAAAATGTATAGGCGTTGCTGTAGACATTACCCTACAGGCTAAATATGCAACACTTGTCGGATTGATACCGGCACAAAGAAATTCGATGATTTAAAACAAAAACACTGACGTTTCTGGAAAATAAATACAAAAACAAACCGAGGCCCAGGGTTGAATGTCTCCTTTGCAGATGCAGCTGAAAGAGGCCCCTCAACAAGGCCACTCTCTCTGCTCCTTGCATAATGTCTTGCCGGAAAGTATGCAGACTTCTGTTTGCTAGAGTTTTTTTACACACCTGAATTCTGGCTGTGCACCATAAAATACTGAATGTTATAATTGTTTTGTGGGGGACTCCAAGATGGAGCAGGATTGTTGCTCAGGGAAGTGAGAAGAAATCGGAAGGAGGGTTTCAAAAGTTTATTCAGGGAAGTGCTGAAAGCATTATTGAGGATGGAAAATCATAAGTAAATAAGGACATTGAATTCAACAAAGAGGCTGTGAGTTTTAAATTCAGGGAAAAGCTACACAGTGTTATTGTGTTTATTTTTTCCGCACAAAACGTGTTTTAAAAAAAAATTAATTAAACTACTCTTTAATGTTTTAAATAAGCTTAATGACTGAAAAAGTATCACTTCTCACTTTGGGTTCCGTGTAATTGTGACGTAATTTCTCATTATTTTCAGAAGGCTCCACCTAAACCAAGAATAACAGTAAAATCTGTATTATTACATATTATTTTAATTATTTATGCATGAATATGTATGTTACCAAAGCTGGTTGAAGTGCAGCATTAATTATTTTGTATGGGTAGCGTGGGAATTTTAAACCAGGATAAACTAAACATTATTAATCCAAATCTGCAAAGTATCTAAAGGTCGGCTATTAATTAAATGTAGTGGAGTCAAAGTACACGATTTGCCTCTGAATTGTAGTGGTGTTAGTAGAAGTACAAAGTAGCCTAACACTAAAAATTGTAGTTAAACTCAGTAGCCTACTTTGGAAAATCTCCTTAGTTACTTTACCCCTGCATTCCTCCACTGATTAGTGGCCCAGGTTTATTTTTGTTTGAAAGCAGCATTTCCTCCACTAAGAGCCGCTGTGGGCCCGCTGTCTCCCGGCCTCTGCCTCTCCTCGCTGCGGCAGCAGGGGGCTCTGTTTCCCGCAGACACCTCGATGACACGGCGGTGTGGCAGCGTCAGCAGGCAGAGGACACACTCGGATCAACCAGTAATCACCATCGTCACTCACACTGCCATGGTCGAAAAAACCAACAACAGCGCTTCCTATTTTTTTACCGGGAGTGAAACTTTAAAAGGCTGGAAAACAGACATGCTGCTAGACGCCATAACCCCGGGGATATAGGCGACATTAAAGAGCGGAAAGTAGCCTCCACCACACCGAAGCCACAAAGAAGGTTCTTTTTTTTTCACGCTCGGAGGGAAAGACGGCATCCGGCCTGAGAAGAAGCTCCGAGGTCGGGGACTCCGGTCGGAGCAACGCTCATCGTTTCTGGTGAGAGTCGCACACATTTTCAGTGTAGTTTCTGTGAATTTACCGATGGGTTTAGCCCCTGGTTATACCCGAGGTGATATAAGAAACATTCACACCGCCCTGCGTTGACTCTAAACGGGCTTAACAATGTTTACTTCACAGCCCTCACAGTGTGTGTGAATGCAGTCGTTTGTCCCATTCAGCGTTGAATGGCCGCATTTAACTGTGAGGTTAAAAACATGCTGCATAAATGAATAGTAAAGTCAGTTAAGTCTGGTAAATGCTTCACTATGTGTGTCCTCATGGTTGCACATTTGTGTCAGGTTTGTAGTTAAATACACAGCAATTAAAAAGAACTGGTTATTTGTCGGTAAATTGTGTGAGGTTTGCTTAAGAGGGGAGGGCTTTGCTGCTCTGCGTGTATCGTCTTGCATAGATGTCACCAAAACATTCACTGACCCATATTTTAAAGATGGATTGTTTTCCAGACATAGGTTTTTCTCACTTGGAAGCACCGTGCAAACTGTACCAGCCTCTTCTCTCTCTCTCTCTCTCTCTCTCTCTCTCTCTCTCTCTCTCTCTCTCTCTCTCTCTCTCTCTCTCTCTCTCTCTCTCTCTCTCTCTCTCTCTCTCTCTCTCTCTCTCTCTCTCTCTCTCTCTCACACACACTCAGTATGAACAGCTTTAAGCCTTCTCAGCTGTTTGTGGGAAGGCCAGCAGCAGACATGGGAAATAGGGTTAAGAGACACTTCTAGGAATTTTACCTCAGCTTTCATTGAATTCCCGTACTTATGTCTTCTTCCTGAGCTAACCTGCGAACTGTGTGTGGATTAATGGTGGATGTGAAGTTGGCAGGATGTCCAAAAAGGAAGACATCATTGTTCTGGAGGGGGAGGGATGCTCATGGCAAACTCCAGAGGAAGTTCATTTTAGTGTAAAAACTAACACATTAATTGCCACATTTATTGTTCTCGTGTTGTTAACACTTTTATTCTGTACACATACTTAGAAAGCTGGTAAATATTCTGTGTTGTGAAACTATGTTACATTGTTGTGCACATGGGACCAAACTCTTCATATTTGTACAATAGTAACTTTAAGAGTTATGTTTTTTACCTTTTCATTATAGCATGATCAGAAACTAAAAGTGGGAAGACATGTCAATAACTTTTTCTTATTGTCATATTAATTATTTTGCAGAATAGTTTCCTCTATTGATTAATTCGTTTTTTTTCAATTATCAGAATTTCCTTAAGCCCAACTTTAAGTCATCACAAGTCCAAAAACGAAATATTCTGTTTACCTTCACACAGTGTTGTAGTCAAGTCACCAATTCATGAGTCCAAGTCACTCTCGAGTCACCACTCTTCGAGTCCGAGTCACCAAGGGAGTGTCGTAGTAGTCGAGTCCAAGTCCGAGTCACCCAAGGAGTGTCCGAGTGCAAGTCATCATTACCTGTGTTCGAGTCCAAGTCTGAGACACCCAAGGAGTGTCCGAGTCGAGTCCGAGTCATCATTACCTGTGTTAGAGTCCGAGTCACCTAAGAAGAGTCCAAGTCCGAGTCACAAGTCTTCATGTATTAATCTTCGTGGATATATGTGTTGAAATGTAGCTGCTCCTCTACATTGCTTATATCCTGTCATGTTATACTAATCTGTCTATTGATCTGCTGTGAAGCGAGTTTGGCTACAATTCTTGTAATAGGTGCTATACAAATATAAAGCTTATTACTAATATTAATATTATTATTATTATATATAAATAAACTATATTTAAAATGCGTTACGGAGCCTTCTCTTCAATATTGTTTCCACATAACGAGCATTTTGCGCTGCTCTTTTCCAATGTGGAAGCAGAATGTGTGAAAGCATACAGCACAATGCGGGACGTGTCTCTAGACATCTTTAGACTGGAATAGCGGGGCCCAGTACGTGAACTCGCCTCGCAGGTGCACACGCCAGGATAGAGGACATCAGACTCCAGAGAATATTTGCTCAAGTCCGAGTCCAAGTCGGAGCGTCAATTTACAAGTCGTCCGAGTCATCGTGGGGGGGAAAATTCACGAGTCCGAGTCCAAGTCGGCGTACGCGATAATGTCCGAGTCCAAGTCATCGTGCGCGAGAATTCCCGAGTCCGAGTCGCGTCAATCAGTGCGCGAGTCCGAGTCGAGTCCCGAACATCGGCACTCGAGTCCGACTCCATCTCTGCCTTCACACTAAGAAAACCACTTGAAAATACTTAAAACCAGTACGTTTTTTGCCATCTCACTTAAAAAACATTACTTATCTATGATTTTAACACGTTTCTGATTATCTGTTGATCAACTAATGGATTAATAAACTCATGTTTCAGCTAATGTTACAAGTTTAAAAATATTAGATTCTGCTGATATTCAGAAATTGGTGATATTGAATATTGTTACCCTGCCTATACATTTGATCAGAAAATAGTTCAAAATACATGTTCTTACACCAATTTGTTTTTGTTTACTAGTGCAATACCTGTAAAAAAACTTCATTATACAAGTCAAGAAGATAAGTGGTTTTCTACAGATCCCTTTGTTTCTTTAGCTAAACCAAACTCCAAAAATGTAAAGACACAACACGCCTAAATAAATACCTTGGAAAATATATTTTAAACCAGAAACATTGTGATAATTTAAGCAGGAAGCAAACCTTCAGTGAAAGCTTTATACACGTTCTGTACTATGGAAACATTGTGGTCAGTATATAAAAACACCTTGAGGTTTCATAATCATTCTTGTCAGTCTTTACAGTTTATATGGTTCTCATATAGAAAGAGCCATCAGAGCACTTCCTGTCATTGAATAGGTTTCAGTTTTACAGACGCCGTTGAGCTTCCTCGATGCGCATCATGTATCTTCAGGAGGTGTGTCAGTGTTATGGGCTGAAAATACCTCGTGGTATCCTGGTACCTGCAGGATGGCATGGGGCTGTTGGGGGACAGTGTGCCCGTGTGTTGGTTTGACGTGGGGTCGTTCCCTTGGTGAGGGCCTTGGGGATGGTGGTGGCAGGGAAACCTGACACGCTGTGAAACAGCTGTAGCCACGCGGTGCTGATCCCTCGAGTCCCAGTGCAGATTGGATGATAGGCTAGTATGGGTGTGTGTGAGAATGTGTGTGGGAGCATACACATGAATGTGTCTTTGCCAGGGATCCATTCTCTATTCAACACACAATCATACACATTGATTTTAAATCCAGACATCATAGACTTTTTTTGGGCAATTTTTAAGCAAGGTGTGTCTTACACTGTGTGCTATCTCTGGGTGTGTGTTTGAGCGGCAGGCCAAGACAGCTGGCTGAAGGTTAATGTGTCACTGCTCTCTGGAGAGCAGCTGCTATGTCACAGGCACCACTCCTTTATATAGATAGCCGTGAAAACTCTTCCTCTTTTCTTTGCTGCATTAACACAAGAACTCTGGCCCCGGCATGCAGCTCAGGCCTCTCACATGCGGTCGCCCCACAAGACAAATGCTGTGGCTTGCAAGTTTGTCCGCCTCCACTCCCTGAATCCCTATCTCCGTTTGAATCTGGGAAGTAAAGACCCCTGCAGCCTCAGAGCCAGCTGGCCAGAGAACCTGTTTGATCAAGTTTTACTGTAATACCTTACACCACATATCTGGATCGCCTTCTGATCTATTAATGTCTGAAACAGGTGAGGGACAAATATTGCCCTTTTTACCGTCATTCTTGGCAGGATCTGCGGGAGCTGTCTGAACACTTGTCTGGTCTTTATTTGGAAACACACACACACACACACACACACACTCATCCAAAACAACATTATTACAGCCAGCACTGCTTCACATATTTAAAATGTACCGCAGTGTTCATAATTAAGTTCTTACTGGTTTAATGAAATACCATGTTTAATCCATGGCTTAGCTTTTTAATTAGCTGAATTTAGAAACCCTCAGGCCCACTCTACCTGGGCTCAGTAGGTTTTTCTAATCAGGGATTGAGAAAGGAGACCAATGTTCAACAGCTAAAAATAAGATCCTCCCTAATGGAATCTGTCCATTCTCCATTTAATTCAAAGCGTTGTGTGTGTCGCAGCACTCACAAGGGGATAAGAAAAGGGTTTCCTCAATCATTTTAAAAAATTCAAATGGAGATATCAATTCAATATTAGTTGATAAAGGATTAATTAATAACAATTTTGATAATCAATCATCCCGAATATTAGCTTCTCAAATGTCACGATTAGCTTTGTTTTCGTTTCAATAAAATGTATATCTTTGTGTTTTCTGACTTTAGGCTCTGAAATATTGTTACAAGTATTTTTAATAAGTTAAATCTGGTTACTATTATTTAATTTGTAAATAGAAGATTTATCCCTGAGAGTTTTGGTCATTGTTTCATTTTTTATTTTTATAGTTTTTCAACCAAACAACTAAAAAAGTCATGCAGCCATAACAAGATACCAGCTTTACTCTCTGCAGGGTTTTCACCAAAGTGTAAGAATCAACTGTGCCTGGCAGGCAGACTGAAATTATTACAAAGGCGACTGAGAGCTGTTTGTGTTTGCAGTCTGAAACTGATATTCTGATAACCCCGTCCTGCCGCCTGGCCTGTTGCTCCCCCTCTCACAGCCATGAAAAGCTATCAGGAGCTTCTGGGGGTGCAGAGGAGGGGGCTAATTGTCGCTCTCTCTGATGCTAATGTGATGCTCACAATCGTACGCCAGGTGACTTGACTCAAATCAGATGATTATCTCCGTAATGAGCCAAACACCAGTGTGATAATCATGCTGCTTTTTATCCAGAGTAAATTAGGAGAATCAATCTTAATATATGTTTTTATGAGGAGAGAATAACACAATCTATTAGTGGTAAACCTTCCAGGGCCCTTTCTGAAAATGTTTTATTTGATCCTCCTCATTGTATCTGCAAATTATTCCAAGCACAAAACCTTTTGAGCATTTACAAAAAAGACAGTTGTTTTGCATTGTAGTAACATAAGTGTGCTGCCTGCCAGATGATATCCGGCTCTTTCTGGCAATCTCAGCTGTGTCCACAGCGCTTATCTGCCACAATCATGCCGGCTTTTTATCCCATTCATAAGCTGTTATCATGTGAAGTGTAAGTGGTGCTTTATATGGATCGTTTCATATGAATAGTCTAATTTCATGCTATTCATCACATTTTTTTTAATCTCAGAATTTGCCCACACAAATATGTGAGTGTACATTTATGTATAGAATTAAATAGTAAAAGTAATTTTTCTGTGTTTTTAAATAATTAAAATGTATTAATAGAGCACTTAGAAAAGAAGTCCAAAGTGTCGCTGCTAGAAAAATCAGACGGCATTATTTCTGTGGACCGATCCAAAGCCTCTGGTCCTGATTGCAAATGATCTGTCCCTCTTAGTTTCCAGCGTTAAAGACATAGAAGACCTCTACAAGGATATGATCATTTGCAAAGGCTCATAAGGGATTAAAAGGTATCAGAGTCTGGAGCCAGGTCGGGAAGAGCTGTAAAGGTAATCAAAAGGACCTTGACATCAATCTTAA